AGTGTTTCGAACCTACTCCTCTGGGATCCTCCTGCACTTGGCGACGCTAAGGCACCGCCGACTCCCGGGAGGCGTGTGCTGGGGGCAGGCGCCCTGCTGCAGTGGCCGCGGGAAAGCCAGTCAAAGCGGCTCACCTGCCGGGCCGGACACTTCCTGCTCTGAGTGTCGGCCTCTGGTGGGCAGATGGGACCGACGGAGGGCCTCGGAGTGAGGCAGACGCAGACTCACAGGTGCAGTGATGCCTCGGACGAGGGGCTGAACCTCTCTGGGCCTCATTTGTAAATGGAAGGAAATGGCAGCCACCGTCCAGGGCATAAAGGAGGGCTCCTGCCTCCGGGCCCTCCATCTGCCATGGCTGCTGTCACTATCCCCTCCCTCCCTCCCCCGCTCTCTGGCCGGGCTGGCCAGCACTGACCCTTCAGCGCGGCCTGGTCGTTCTGCTGCCCAAGGACCTCTGAGAGTTCATCCTCAAAACTGCCGTGTTTCTTCTGCTGACGTGCCCTCTCCTTGGCACCTGGTGGGAGAAAAAAGTCCCATTTGGTCTGAGCGGGCACATCTGTCTGTGAAAGGGAAGGCCTCCATTTGCTCATCTGTGCACTGGGCGGAGGGGGTGAGAGCGTGGCGACGGCGGAAGGGTTGGCTGCCCCTGTCCCCTCCCAGCTGGGGCCCAGCTGGTGGCTATACCACCTCCAGACTCAGTTTCTCACCCAGGAAATGAGAACAAGCCTGCCTGCTGCCTCACAGAGCAGCCAAGACTCAGATGGAGCAGAGGGTCCCAGGGGCGGAGGCAAAGAGTGGGCCCCTCAGGACCTGGCTGGGAGCTAGGGAAACCCTGCAGCAGGTGGCAATGGTGACGGTTACCCTCATGGGGGCTCTTGGTTCAGGCAAACCCTGCTCACCCTGGACCCCTGAGTCCAGACACTTGGGAGAAAGCCAAACACATGCCCAAGTCCAAGCCCAGGGCTGGCACCTGCTGCCATGAGCCACAGACCCCCGCTCCCTGCATCAGCCTGAGGCTGCAGCCACGCCTGGGACTGTCCCCTCCTGTGCCCGGTTCCTGACCGTGGCCCCTTGCCCAGACCAACTCTGCAGCTGGCACTGATTTTTCCCCCAGGATGGGAGCTTCTGGAATGGTCATAGGAGCCTGGCCCAGTGGTTGTGGACAAGGGAGTGTGCCCAGAGGAAAGAGATCCTCTTTGCCACCCAATCTCGAAAGTACGGCTGAACTGCAGAGACTGGGCGGTATTAGGAGAGCAGTCTCTGGTCTTGGCATGTCCCTATCTCACTGTGTGACCGTGGGCAAGACTCTCAACCTCTCTGGGCCTTGATCTCTCCCACTATATCGCGGCCTACTTGGCCAGGTGGCATGGAGGACCCCACCGTTCCACTTTCTGGTTGAACAGAAACAGCTGCGGACCAGAGAGAACCAGGACCTTCCGCCCTGACTTCCTGACTCCCAGTCGCTGGAATTGACCCAGATGCATGCGCGGTGGCTGGAAGTACCTTGGAGAGCAAGGTCTTGGAGCTCTTTCAGCAAGTTCTGGTGTCGCAGGATTGAGAGGATCCGCTCATCTGCAAGGAAGGAGGGTGTTATGGGCCGCGGGCAGAGGACAGCTGAGGGAGAGATTGCCATCGACAGTTTCCGCTGAGCACAGGGACTTCGCTCTGGAAACTCAATGCCTGGGTGGCAGCGGCAAGATTGGGCCTTGCGATAACACTTTTGAAATGACCCCCTCTCCCAGGTGCCGATCAGTCTTCTACCAGCAGAAAGGTCAGCCACTGTCCCGGCACCCAGACCCTGACCGAGGGAGTGCAGGCCCGAGGGGGGTACCCGCCTCCATGCCTGGGCTCGCGCTGGCCGATCCCCCCGAATGCCCTTTCTTCATTTTTCTACCTATTTTTTTCCCAATTTTTCTCTGAACTGCCAACCCCAGTGCTAATGTTGGCTCCATCCAACAGCTACTTGACTGCCTGCTTAGCAAAGCTTTCCCCTCATGCCCACCCGCAATGCTCCTTTTTTCATCACATATCTACAAGGTGTCTGCCAGGTGCCAGCAGCTGTTCTGGGCACAGGGGATATAGCACACAAAATCCTTGTCCGCAGGGAGCTCGAGTTCTGATGGTTGCTGTTCCAGACCTGGTTTCATTCTGCGCAGAGTCCTAACTGTGTTCCTATTTGTCCCTCTGCCCATCTGTACGCTCCAGGAGTACAGGGCCCAGACCTCCTTCATCTCCCTGTACCACTCAGACTGCAGCACAGGCCTGGGCGAGGCTGGCACTGTCAGGGACAGTTGAGTTAAATCACTGAATTCCATCAAGAGCCACACACCCCTGTCCTAGCCTTCCAGCCCAGCAGGCAGCAGCCCCTCCCCCCAGCCTGGCCCATACCTCCTCGGAGTGTCTCAAAGCACTCCTGGCTCACAGGCATGGGGCTGGGCTTGGAGAGCGTGTCAGAGATGACCTCCACGATGCACTTCATCACCTGGAAAGACAGTGGGGCGGCTGGGGTGGGTTGGGGCATGGGACTCAGCCCCTAAGGCTCCGGGGCAGATTTCTAATGAGGACATAAGGGCATTTGCTCTTGTCTTCCCGAGTCCATGGTGGCCTGGCTCAGGGGCACAGCTCTGCTCTCTCAGACAACAATAGTCATGATAAGAGAAAACCCTTACATGGTACTTGGGCGCCAGGCACTCCATTCCCCGGGCCAGCAGGTGCCCCTCTAAGGGGGGTGGGTACCTGGGGCCTTCTCATCTCCAGGGGTTTCTCTAATGATGGGGAAGCTGCTCCCGGGCATCAGACATCTGTTCTGCAACAGCATCTCCGTCTTGCAGATGCCCAAACAACCAGCTATGTCCAGGGAGCCTTTCTGGACCACCCAGAGGAGAACAGAGACCTTCCCTGGCTCTACCCTGGCTGGAAACAGGACTTGGACGACTGTCCCTCAACATCCACAGTGCTGTCACACGCAGGGAGTGACAGCGTCACGGTCTGGCTCCACATGCACCCAGGGACGAGTCTGCTGGCTGGAGGTGGGCACACATTGGCTACCTCTGGTGTCCATCCCAGGCCAACGGCAGCCCTCTCTCTCTGAAAGGTGCTGTGGATAACTGGGCACCTGATAAATGCATAGCGGAGGATGGTACCAACTCTAGTGTGGTATCCTAGCTGTTACCTTGGGAACGACCTCTCTGAGCCTCAGTTTCCTCACTTGTGAAATGGGAGAGAGAAGAACCTCCCAACTCCCCTCCCAGGGTGACAAGGCACCGACGGGAAAACACTCTATAAAGCGTGAAGTGCCACACACACACCCAGGGAGAGACACACAACTCCCAACCTGCTTCAGCTGGCTAGAGCAGGGGCGGGGGGTAGGGGGCAGGAGGTGTCAGACAGGCGTCAGGCAATGCTGGTCGAGAGAGAGGGAGTGGAAGGCTGTGTCTACGGGTACCAAGGCAACCTGTCCAAGGATCCAGGGCGGCAGGCTGGCAAACAGGCTGTACAGCTGTCAGCATCCTGGGGATGGAACATTCAGGTCTTTATCAGCTGTCCTGGTGCCCCTGACCCCAGGCTCCTGAGTACAATACAGTGACCTGAATGTCTCCCGGGAGGGACCTGGCAAGGAGGGCCCTTCAGCCTGTGCCTTGCATGTCCCTGCAACCCCAGACCTTGCACTGGGAATAGCAGATAACCAAGAGATCGTGAGAACAGGCTCTGAGAGAGAGAGACTGGGTCTGGATCCCAGGAACCATGGGGAGATTAAGAAGGGGAGCTCTAGAAATAACAGCGCCCATTTACTGAGGACCTACTGTGTGCCAGGTACCTCACCTCTGATTCCTACTCCTCACAACTCCCCACAAGGGAAATATTATTACAGATGGGAAAGGGGGAAGCTCAGAGACGTTAAGGGATTTCCCCAAAACCTCACAGCTACAATGAGTGGTAGAGGTTTACTGCAGGCCCGTCTGCCACTGAAGAATAGGAAACACGACTGAGCAAATGGATGCTTTGTGTTCTAACCATCGCCTCCCTGGAATGGAAGACAACAGCTCCTGGAAAGGTGGGAAGCAGACATGTACCGACTCGCAGGTGGAGGTATCCGCGAGCACCAGAGCCTGGACAACAGCCCCAGCTCAGACAGGAATGAATTCCAAGTGTACACCCAACACGAAGTGTCTCTTGCTGGCTACAGAGCCTCCATCAGCATCTCCTAAGTCTCTTTCCTGAGTGACATCCACCATCAGCCCTAACTGGCTGGGACCCGGGGTGCAGAAGCCATAACCAAGAATGTTTTCATTGTGGCCCTTTGGGAGAGCTACGACTTGAGTGCCTGTGGGGTGGGGTGTGTTGCTGGCAGAGCCCTGGGGGGAGGGGAAAAGAGAGGGGGAGGTGAAGACCTGGCTCCCCCATGTCTGTAGACAACCACAACCACAGAACAGAGAAGCCACCCCCAGCAGCCCTCGGTGGGTCTGCCAGATTTGGGATGCTCGACGGTAGGTCTGGCACCCCAGCCCAGCAGACAGGACACGGCGGGCCCCATTGGGCTGCAGACTCAGCTCCGAGGAAGCTGGGGGCGGCAGGGCCATGGGGCAGTCTTTGATCTCTTCTTTTGCAGGCTGTCCCCAGGCTCAGCAGCCGCAGTGCTGGCTCTTGGCTTTCTGCCAACTCACTTCTGCAGCTGCCCGAGAACTGGCTGTAAGGTGTCCCCTGGAGCCTCCTACCCCCTCCTGGGGCGTCCCCACACCCCTCTTACCTCGGTGTCCCTTTTATGCATCGGGCTGTTCACAGGGAGGGCAGTGACTGGGAAGAAAGAGAGAGAGCTGGGGTCACTCCTCTGTTCTGAGGGGAGAGCCAGTCCTTCTTGGCCAGGTTCCTCAGGGGCCCAGTCCCCCTTTGCTCCCCCTTACAACTGCCCCCACCCAAATGAGACGCTGGGCTGATTTTGTTTCCCTTCCCTGGCAGCTGCCCCATGAGGGTGTCTCCCAGAGGCTGCCCCGAGAGCCTTAGCCCTTCCCTTTGGGAAAGCTGCTCTGAACGGGGTGTGGGAGCTGAAGGCGAGTGTGAAAACAAGGCTCAGGGCTGAAGGGCTTGGGGCGGGAGGAGAATGCAGGGAGAGGTGGTGAGGGAAAAGGGATGGAGGAGGAGGAGTGTGAGATGACGCTGAGAGGAAGAAGTCAAGGGCAGGAAGACGGAGAGCGGGAGGATGGAAGAGGGAGAGAGGCAGAGCCCGCGGCAGCCCTCCCATCTCCCCCGGTGACCTTGGCCAGGCCGGGCGCGGAGCCGGATGCAGCCCGGACGCCCAGCCCAGGTACGGGGTGGGGGCACCCGGGTGCCTGCCTCGCGGAGTCGGGAGTCCAGCCGAAAGAGCGAAAAGCCCGGTCTGCGGGCTCCGGGCCCAGGCCACTTAGCTGGGTCGGGAGGGAGGCGGGGCGCTGTCCGCGGTGCTGAAACTCGCCGTGCGTAGGGGACGGACCGAGGGGCGCGGGCGCTGCGCGGAGCCTGGACGCAGGGCAGGCAGGGACGGAGCGAGAGGGGCGCCCAGGACTCTCTCCCCCACACTGCGCTCACCTTGCCCGGCGCAGAGCAGAAGCGCCAGGACCGCCGCGGAGCGCATGGCGAACCCGGGACGCCGAGCACGGTGGGCACCTGGGCGCGGGGTGGTTGGACGGGCGGTGCGGGACGGGCTACCGCAGGCGTTAGAGCGGGGATGGGGGTCGCAGAGTCTGTGTGCGTCCGTCTGTCGGTCCACCCACCAGCCTCCCTGCATAGAGTTCCG